TTCGATTCACCTCCGAAAACAATGCGAGATGGCTGAAGAAAGTTGTGGACTTTGTAACTTGTTAGTACAATGTACGAAGAATCAGGTAGTAGGGAAATTCCGAATAGTATCAGTGGGTGAAATTGTGATTCTACATCACGTCGGAGATCGAGTAGTTCGTCAGATAGTCGATCTCTAATCAAGTGGTGAGTTTTATTGGAAGTCGCATGGGTTATTTTCAATTTACTTGATCTGCTGCTCATTAACCCAACTACTGATCGTAAGGTTTAGTAATAGTACGATGCACTACAGTATTGTACTGGTGTGCACAGTGTCGCATAGTAAGTACTACTCCGGAGTAGTTACAGAGTGTACTTACCTGTATGCTTACTTTCATTTGGTCAACCGACTTCGAACCAAATACTAATAAAGTAATTCAAAATGAATACTAATACTAGTACTACGTAGTATTTGCAGTGCACTTCTGTTGTCGAGTACTACGTCGTAGTACACTGCATTTTCTCCACCAAGTGCTCCTCCATTACTCTACACTGTGTTGGTACAGTGCAAGGACTTTCCGGTAAGTTAACCAATACTGTAACGTTACTATTAATAGTACCATAATAGTGTACTAGTACTACAGTAGTAAAAGGGGGCTTGGGAATTATGAAGTAAGCTTAGACAAACCACGCGAAACTTGGAAGTTTATACTCCGCGAATTCACAATACAGTCTGTGCAGTAGCTGGAAGAAAGTACTACTAGTACAGTACTATTAATAGTATTAATACTTACTAATATCAACAAGCTCTACCCCAATTAATTAAGTTACCCTTATAATATTATCAATAATATCATTAGCGTTAATAATTGGTTGACATGCCCCCTGATTCAGGAATTAGCCTTAACGTTAAGTGCAATTCATCACAACAACATGCCGACATGTGAACTTTCCCGTTGCACAGAAAATCAACAAATAAGGTACTGCCCTGGGTAGCTTGATTGAAATGTGATGTCCTTCCATTTAGCCTTTTGGCCTGAGGGGAGTTAACCATATACTCCGGAGTATCAACTACTATAATAGTAGTACACACTACAACTACAGTGTAGTACTGTACTTAGTTGGTAGATCTTGCGATACAGTGTGTTGCAGCTACCGCACTGTAACCAATTAACAACCACATTTTACATACAGCATGACGGTACACAAATCTGCTACTGGTCACACCATCGTCGTTGCCATAACACGACAACTAAATTTACTACTAGAAGTCCGTAGCTCCTCCGACTGATATGAGCCAAGAAGTATCCATCATGATATGCGACCAATCCCAGGTGCTTGCAGGGCACACCAGACCTCGTCGGTGGATTTCGCAGAGCCTCCCCCCTCGGTCCGTCAGTCTGCACTTGACATCCATGCATAATCGCGACCCGCCATGCTTCGCACACAAGTCGCCTCGCTGAGCGTCAACGGCCCCCCATGCTTGCGGCAGACTCCCTTACCTTGCGAGCTCTTGTCGTAGTCAGAGAACGTGTATCGAGCGCCGCCACCGAGCGCTTTGCAAAGTCCGTGGGACTGGGCCGACTTTTCGCACTTCTCCGCTGTATAGTACATCATTTGTCACAGCCGCGCGTAAAGCAGCACTTCTTGCCCTAGCTACTGCTCGCACCCAACGACATTGTACCGTCGAAGCCCCCATGGGCTTTGCAATAGCCACAATAGGTCACCACTGTACGGCTAGCGTGTTGGAGGCATTGGCCTGGTATTTGTTGGACATTTTTGGTCGACACTGACTGCAATGATGGTAGCTGTTGTTGCTGAATCTGCAGGGAGTCGTCTAAGGAGGAGCCGGTAGTATTCAGGTCAAAATCTCCGGTTTCGGGGCTGCTGCTGTGGTGTGCGGTCGGAGGGCGGGGCAGGTACTGCCGGGATGACTCGTGAAACGAAACTCTGGGCTAACACCTCGATGAGATCCATCACCACTTGCTCGTGAAGGTGGTGGTGGTTGAGGGGAATGTTCCAAAGGTGATGATGCTCGAGGGTCGATTTGACTGGCCCGTTGTCGTGTTGACATGCCATTAGCATGTCGATGGCTGGTGGTGCCGCGTAAATATAATATTGTCGACTGGTATGCTGCCTCGAGCCAATGTCGTTGCTGTAGGGGCGACGCGGGTCGCCTGAATGAGGTTGGTAACGCATTGGTGTGTATATACCGGGTTGTAGCCCTCGAATATATACATGACACGTTACCAGGATTGTTTTGATATGGTTGCGTGATGTTAGTCGCATAGTATTGCAACGACATGCAATTCCGTTGGTAAATAAATCGCTGGGTGTTATACGCTGTAACGTTATACAGTAGTAATTCCCAGAGTAAAGTGGCCCCAACGACAAACGGCAAACTAGGAGTTTTCTCCCACAACGGTACATTTTAGTCCAACCCGGCTCTATGTAGAAAGGGTCACCAGTTGGTGGAGCCCAGCGAATTTGACAATTTCAGCTGTCCTAATGGGTGAAACGTTTGCTAACGTTAGTAGAAGTTTGATGAAGCATCGTCGCGATAAGATTCTAAGATTGCCTCACAACACTGTACATACGTGGTGTACTGTAGCATGCCATTGGACGAGCGGGGAGTTATGAACCTTTGCCCGCTGGTAGCGGGTGATAATATGCGTAGCATTTGCTGCTTGGAATCAACGCAGCTCTTAACGCGATGTAGTCGCGGCCTTGCACGACTGTCGTGCGCATGCAGTTGCTAGTAACTTACTGTATGACAGCTACTCTCCACACTTAGGTCTACCACTTCCAGCTGGGCGAATTAGCAGCTGGCTCTGGAGCTCTTGAATTTTGGGGGGATAGGCAGCGCTGTGAAATTGGTGGTTCTACAAAAGATAGCTATTTTATCGAAGGGCGCCTTCAAATTGGAGGTTTCGTAGTCGTGAAGCGAGTGGACTTTTCTCTTGTAAGTAGATAGCGATAGCCGTCAAAAATAGGTGGCTGTGGCAAGCTGATGGCATGTGGCATTCGTCGAGGTGTATGTCGACAAAAAGAATTCACAAGGTAGGACGATACAGATTTTGTGGATGGCGATGTACTGTACTAGTAGTACTGTACTACTTCGTCCCAAATTACCTCCTTTCGAATTACAAGCCGGAAAAATGGTCCATCAAGGCTTGTGTAAATACCTTATTAACAGTAAATAGCGAGAAGGTTACAGTAGTCAGTAGTATAAAACAGTTTTATACTTGTACCATCAATACAATACTAACTACTATTAATAGTACTACAAGTATATAGTACATACTATTAATAGTACTAGTACAGTCGAAAAAAAGAATTTGAATATCCCTATTTCCATGAATCGTTTCCGTACACGTAATCATTTGAATCCTAAATCCTTGATTTGGCACGATGAACATCGTAATTTTGTCAATATTTGTAGACGATGATCATCGCGGGAATTCGGCGATGAGGTGGGCGATTAGTAGTCATATTAGGATAGTTAAAATATAGAGCTACGTTACCTCTGTATATGCATATTGTCACGCATTTGATCATACATTAATCAAGTCCGGTGAGTGATTTAACATGTTCTGCGCTGAAGGACAATATTATTTTGATGATATGGTGCACATTATCCAACAAACCTGTAATATAAATATGAGCAAGCAAAACACCGAATTCCCAGCTTCTCATTGGTACAAAATTCGTCGAAATTGGTCAATTTTTGATGTTGAAACGTGGTGTAGTACTCAATTTCTATTGGCTATAAATAAAACATATGTTTGCTCTCCTCCGCTCCAATTTCGCACAATGTGGTGCTGTGTCCACCACACTCCTAGCAGCCATATTTGCATCATTCCACACCACGATGCACTGACTGTTCCTTTCAACGATGAAATGACAAATTCACATCAGTGAAATCACCAGTGATTATAACGATTACGATGGCAGCAGCCGTTAGCATAACCTGTACAAAATTATACCTACCTGCCTAAATTGAATACAGTGAATACAGTGGTTGGATGGTGCCAGCTATTTTCAAATTTGTGGCATTCTACATACAGTGTGTCCAGAAATTATAGACGCACCTAAATTTTCTCGAGTTCGTCATGATGCCATCCCATTCCCCTCTCTCTGCAGGGTGCCCTGCTATCACAGGCGCATGTAAGAGTATCCACTAAGCGGGTTTCGCCAACAGATCTGTTTAGATCGTGCAATCTCCAAATTTATCATTTCGAGCTGTCCAGAAATTATAGACGCACTTCTGACAAATCACAAAATTCATCTTAATTTTAGCCAATCAAGTGTCAAAACAGCAATCCACATTATTACAGCACTAGCGGCGACACGTACACACCATTATCCACATCATTTGTCACATTCAGCGATGCCACGCGGCAAAACCATCACTGCCGAGGAGCGAGGCCAGATAATGGCCTATTCGAAGCTTGGTAAGAAGCTACGGTGGATCGCCAGAGCTCTCCAACGCAGCGATAAGCTCGTTCGGACATGTGTGGCCAACTTCAGCCGAGAATTGCCACCCAAGTCCCTTGGACGGCACTGCAAACTGACCCGCCGAGAAGTCCGCCGAATCTTCCGACTCGCCACACGCAAAGGAATGTCCACTAGACAGATTTCAGCTGCTCTAGGTGGTAAAGTAAAGCATTCTACTGTGTCCATTGTGCTTAACATGAGCAAGTTCGCAAAGTACATGAAACGCCGCTCGAGTCCCCGTCTGACGACCAAGCACAAGAAGGCCAGGGTTGAGTTTGCGGCAAAATACTTCCACAAGCTCGATGCCATGAAGAAAACTCTCTTTACAGACGAGAAGAAGTTTAACTTAGACGGTTCAGACGGCTGCCAGTATTACTGGCACCACTTGCGCCACGAGGTGCAGACCTACTCGAAGCGTGTCTTGGTGGGGGCTCGGTATTTGTTTGGGGTGGCATCAGCTATCACAACAAGACCGAATTGGCCATCCTGGAGGGTCGCCAAGACTCTGAGAAGTACAAGGACACGCTTTGTGGGTACATGATCCCCACAATGCGCGAAATTGGCCGTGCGACAAGTGATGGCACTGGAATTTTCCAGCAAGACAACGCCAGCATCCATACGTCGAAGGTGTCGAAGGCGTGGCTGGATGCCCTACCGTGGCCAACGATGCCGTGGCCTGCCAAAAGCCCAGATTTAAGCCCAATTGAAAATGTTTGGGGTGCTCTGGCAAGAAAAGTATATGCAAATGGGCGGCAGTTCGAGACAAAGGCGAGTCTGAAGGCCCAAATATTGGTCTCATGGAGCGAAATCGAGCAGGAGTACTTACAAGACTTGATTGAAGGCATGCCTACTCGCATGGCTCAAGTTCTTTTGCGTCGCGGTAACTGTATTGATAAATAGTTGACTTTTTGAAAATGCGTCTATAATTTCTGGACAGCTCGAAATGATAAATTTGGAGATTGCACGATCTAAACAGATCTGTTGGCGAAACCCGCTTAGTGGATACTCTTACATGCGCCTGTGATAGCAGGGCACCATGCAGAGAGAGGGGAATGAGATGGCATCATGACGAACTCGAGAAAATTTAGGTGCGTCTATAATTTCTGGACACACTGTATGGCCGAACCTCCTCTCTCGGCTACACAAGCCCAACGTGCTCCATCGCCGCTAGTCGTATGCACCGTTGACGAGTGTGGGTGCTTCTTGCTAAAGTCTCACTACATGAATCACTTTGGCAAGTATCACCCACACGAGAAATGGCACAAAGGCCTCCATGCTCCCAATGAAGTTGATCCAGGCCCTGTGTACCGATATCCAAACCGTAAGTACAACTTAGTCATATATATTTACTCTTGATGGTCTGTTAGCGAATGAAGTTGCCTGGCACAACAATTTGTCGAAACTAGCGCGACTGAAAGCCATGAAGGAGCAAAAGGACTGACTGTTGCGGCGTCGAACTGTGGACCAGCAATCGCAAAAATCAACAACAAATAGTCGTCTTCAAACCCTAGAGGTCAATGCTACCCTACACGAGGCAAAGCTTCGTGACATCAACCATTCGATCAATGGGCGCAATTCAGGAAACGAAGTGGCTTCTGATTTCAACGATGCATCGGACGTTGACATCACGGATGACCACGACGGTGATGACAACGGTTAAAACAACCGTTAAACAACGTCGATTTAAAGAAGTTGTGTAGAAGACACCATTAATGGACGTGGCGACAGTGAAACCCCATCGAGCCCCGAAGCATTGATGACAAAGCGGAGTCGTGTAGAAGACACCGTTGATGGACGTGGCGACAGTGAAACCCCACAGAGTTCCGAAGCATTGATCACAAAGCAGAGTCGAAAGCCCAAACGTAAAGGTATTTGGGTTTGGAATTTATATGATGCAGCGCAAGTATGTTTTGAGCATTTACGAGTTACATTAGCGAAAGCCCTCCCTGATGCTGCGATGGCCCTTATTCTGAGCGGCGAACGGCCCCGCCGTTCGATCGAAAAGTACAACGAAGTGTTAGTCTATGTAATTCATGAATACTTATATCTACACGACCTCTGGGTGCGAGATAGCGAGCACCGTCTTGGGCTTGGCGACGTCGCCGTTCCCGCAGCTCGCTTTGGCCCGATCCACGAGTGGGTCGGGCGGTCGAAGTATGCTATCGCAACCATTGCCGCCCCCACCTCCACAAGCGGGGCGGGTTCTGGCTTCAAGCGTCAAACTTTTGACCTCAGCCGCTGTCAGTTTGGCGTAGTCTTGAAGTCTTTTGACCTCGGCGGCCAACACTGTTGCCGAAGCTGGGACTGCTTCGGCACGTTCCTTGTTGCTGATGCCCTTGGCGTGGAGTGCGTCGGCCTCGGCCGCCATGGCCGGGAGCACGTTGCTCAGCACACAGCGCACATGGCTCCAGAACTTGGAGACGTTGAACTTGATCTCCTTGTCATCGAAGTCGTAGCTGTTGCGCACCAGCGCCTTCGCTTCGTCGGATTTCATGCCATACTTGAGCGCCTGGATGACGGCCTTGGGATGGAAGTAGTCGATGTCCTCGGCTGCCTCATCCGTGAGGATGTCCATGTACCTCGCCTGCCAGTCCGTCATGCGGTCGCTCGTGCGAAGGAGGGTGTTGTCCATCGACAGCTGTTTGAGGCGGGCGACGACGACAGCCTTGCTCGACGATGATATGAGCATCGATGCCTCGTATATCGCCTCCCACTCCGTCTCGCGGATGTCCTCGATGGGACGATCGAATTGGAATCACGCGTGGTGGGCGAGGGTCTCCGCCGTCATGCAGGAGCTCATCGATACCGTCCCAATGCGCACACCGCTGCTCACGCTAATGGCGTCTTGACCGCGGGCGTACACGATGAAGCGCTTGACGAACTTCTGTTGGTCGCGCTCCTTGAAGCCGTCCTTGCCATAGACAGGTGGCTTCGTGGGCGTGTACCCGCTGATGAGTGGCGCCGCCGTTGACTGTGACGACGTGCTGCTGTTGCTGCTGGACCTGCTGCATCTGTTGCCAGTTGAGATTGGCATTGTTGAACGCACGCTGCTGCTCCATGTCGAGGTGCGCCTTGTATCCAGACACCTCGCGCTCCAATTTCGCCTTGAACCGCGTGGTGTGCGCCGTCGCATCTTGTTCGATCGCGTACTTGTACTGCGCAGCTGCTTGGTGCATCTGACGTTGCTCCCACTCAAAGTGGGCTTGACGCCAGTCTGCCTCGATGCACTCGCGATGCGCCACCATTTGAAGCTCGTGCTGTTGTAGGGCATGCTCGCGCGCGCGTACATGATCGGTCCACCCTTGACTCTGCGGCTGCACAGGCGCCGCGTAAACGTGATGATGGAACGACGTATGTTGTGACGGTGCGACACGTTGTCCACCGTGAATTATACCCTTCAACGCCTGTCGGTCGTGGTAAGCTGGTACTTGGCTCGGTTGTCGGGTCGTTATCGTTGGCACTCCATGTCCATGACGATGGACATAACCATCGACGAGCTGCTACCCACCCGCGACGACTGTCGCGCTTGTGGGCGGTAGGACGGTGCTGGGAGACCACCGTAGGCCGCGCCTGGTGGGTATCACGTTGTTGCCCGGACGTCTCCGGGATCCGTGGTATTGCTTGCACACGCGGGAGGCTCGCCATCGGTTCCGTTGCAGCTTCTGGCTGCGGGGTCGCCGCCGCCGCTGACGCGCTGTAGAAGCCATCGTCGAGGGTGCGGTCAGACAACGATCCTTGTTGTGGGTCGTATGTCGTCGGGGGTACCAAGGCACGCGGGGTGGCGGGCTCGGGCTTCATGGTGCTTTCAAGCTTGAGTTGCTTTAGTCAAACGAGACTAATAAATTTATTATTGTGTCTGCCGGTCCTGAACTGGCAGTGTCTCCTTTAGAACTCGATGCACCGGGTTCAAAGGTAAAAGAAGAGTGACAATGTTAAAGGTCTTAGATCTACTGATTCACAACGCATATTTACATCCCCTATCGAGCTCTCTTCGGTCGTGTTGACAGATCCTCGACCAATGGGAATGGAGTGCGCTTGCAAGGATACTACCTGTCTCTTGCTAAGATACTCCACACCCAACAAACATCCAGTCACGGTTTGGTGATGTCAAGAGGGACGATGCAGGGGGTATGTAGTACTGAGGAGGAACGACGACGAAGAACACTTATGTGGTCGATGACAAAACCAAAAGAGTTTAGCTGACCTATGATTGGGCATAAATAGTCCGGCTTCTACAGAGAAAGAACACCGGATAATTCCGGATGACCGGATATTATCCGTAAGTGACCGAACCTCGGCGAAAAAGGCCAAAGCAAGAACGAACGCCCAGAGTACCCCTTCTTGACAGGTGAGATGAGGCCCAATCTCGTCAACACCTTGGTTGCGACAGTGTGCCTGATGACTTGATCATTTAGATGACATTGAATGAAGTACCCTCTACCTAGCTGCTGAGGTAGAGGCTAAACTTGTTGGAGTTTTTGGCCAGTCAAAAGAAGAAAGATGCAATTCTCACCATGGGAGGTCAAACTGCACGACCGGACATTCCGGTTAGCAATGCTAACTTTCCTCCAATCAGAACCATGGGAAACGAAAATCATCCGGAAATGTAGCCAATCAAGGCAAGCGCCACGACACCGGAAAGGCGTTTTCCAATGCAACTCCAAAGAGCTGTAAATGCTTCTACTGTGAAGGTAAATACAACATCGGCGGCGTGGACCACATGAATTGGGGTTGCCCCAAGTGCCAGGACGACTTTCGTCGTGGCTTGGCGCAAAGCTCAATTTTCGAAGAACCGCAGCGAATCGAAGATGCGGTGCCCAAGGGGCGCGATGTTCGCACGACGGCACAGACTGCGGCGCCGTCGTGACGCGCGAAGAAGTGTTATTGCATGCATCGCCGCCAAGGGGTCAAGTGTTTGACCTGCCGGACATGTCCATGCACGACATGTTTTCGTGCCCTGATGACAGCGACATTCTGTCCTACTAGGCCGTGGACACAACATCAACTCCAGTCCTCGTATTTGATTTGAGGCTCGGGCAATGATTTTGCTTCCTTTACGTAGTTAGGGGCTCTTCCAAGTACCGTCGTACTTTAAACCCAAAATGCGTTCCCAAGTAAGTTTGTCGTTATTTCATCGCACTTTGGTCGTGCTTTTGTCGTGTTTTCTGCTTCTACGTGATTGGCTAGTGATGGATTAGTCGTGTTTGATGTACTATTTGGGTTAAACATTTCCCAAGTTACGATTTGCCGTGGTTGATGTACGATTTGGGTTTGACAAGAAAAGGTGATAAAATCCGACGTAATTCTCAATTTTAGCATTTTAGAACATGTTATTACTTTGTGAAATAGTTCTGGAAAACGAGCGCGAAAAACTGGTGATTTCAAGCTCCAAGACTATTACAGAATGCTGCAGCCATTTTAGTCATCACCAGATCAGCTGATCTTTGTGGACGAGGCGTCTAAAGATGGGCGAGACTCCATCAGGAAGTACGCGTGGTCGAAAAGGAACACACGCGCGATTGTGGAGCTCCTATTTTCAGGTGGGCAACGTGTGTCAGCACTGGCAGCCTTTTCTACAAGTGGATTTTTGTCATGGGGTTATGTAGACGGTAAAATTCGAGAAATTGATATTATTGCGTCAATCGTACCAAAGTACGCATAAATTGCAGGGTGAATGACCCCTGGTCAGTGCAGGTCTTGCCAGCGTTGTCCCACACATTGGGGATCATGTCGTGGTAGTTTTCGTCCGTCAACGCAACGTATTTGCTCTGTGGGGCATTCAAAGCAACTTTAACGTATGTCTCCCATGGAGTTTGAGCACCCCACAGGAGACGGTCGTTGCTGGCGCCAGCATGGTGTGCGGCAACCAATCCCGCAACAATGTCGAACATCTTTGCTGTTATGACGTTGAACGTGTCAGTCGTCCTTATCGTGAGCACGACAGGGTCTCCAACTGTTGTTCTGCTATTAGCCTGAGGTCGACCGACTTTCACAGACACACAGCATTGCATGTTGTCTGGTACTGGCACCTGTGCGGTGTCGTTGCCAGTCGATGTCATCATGGTTGGCTCGCGATGGTTGCAGTGTAAAACTACCACATTTTATATCAGCCAATGACAGAACACTGGGATAACGTGACGGATCTGTGATTTGCCGATTTTGAGCTCCATTCAATCGACCATATCTGGCGAAGTTCAAATTATCTCGAGCTGAAAGTTGCAGTGCCAAACTCGCCTTTTTGAGCTTTTTCTCATCGTTCGAATATAAATTAAGTGTAAGAGTTTGAATCAGGGCAAATAAAATGATAAAGTTAGGCGCTCAAACAGGCGATCGGTGATTTGCCGAAATTTAACCTTGTATTCAGTATAGGAATTTTAAGGCTTCGATGATACAAAATTACTGATTTATAGAGAAATATTACATGTATGCAGTAATAATATTTTACAGGTTATACTTCACTTATACTATGCTCAAGTATTTAAGCCAAGCCTTTGGCGCGTAGCAAATCGGTTAGACGATGAGGCGGTGGTGGATAGGCCCCGGGTTCGAGTCCCGGGGTGCGCCAAATTTTTCCTCAACTTTAGAACTCTGTAGCGTAACAGTATTCCGTTCTAACATGTAAGTGCACGCTTTCACACTTAAATGCAGTATGATTCCGCTACTAACTCCTCGGTTAAAGCTACTTCGTCCTCCTCGTGATCAGCAACAGGGGCTGGAATAGTTGGCTGAGTCCTTTTTCGGCCTTTGGGACGAGCGGCAGCTTGACTTTGGAGAATTGCATGGTAATCGGCAGTGATAAACTTACCGCTCACAGTCAAGGTCTTCCTCGCAGCACGTTTTTTCTTCTGCGGGGGTAGCAAGAGCACATCACTCCTCACAATCGCACTGCG